AACGAGGAGCTCCGCCTATATGGGCAACTCTCCACCTATCAGGAGGAGACAGCCACGGACATTGCCGTTCGAAAGCGCTGGAGACGATGTAGTATATATGCCAGGCCTGTAGATGGTGCTGTTCTCACATNTATGCGGTGTCCGCTGGCAGTAATCCCGTAGCTCATCATCCGCATCACTGTTGACCCGTGTTTTCTTGCTGCTCGCCTGCCTCTGTTCAGTGCTGACGCCGGTCCGTTGCTCACTGGTGCTAGCATTACTGCTAGTGCTAGCTGTCGGCAGCGGGTGTTTCATCTTCAGATGGTTGCGCATAGCAGATGCATTTGTATTGTACTTCAGTACAGCTGTAGGCCTACATCGGATGTATCCTCTAAATCTGGGGTAAGAAGGCTGCATTTGCGGGCCGCATTCGGAGGAGTCTTGTCTTTTTTTTTTATTGGGACAGCCTTCGTCTGGCGAATGTGACGTCTGCGGTCTCCGAATGCATCCTCAGGAGGATGCGGCCGCTGAATTGGGACACAGTGATAGACACAAGATGTGTGCGAATGTATTTAGTTTCATATCCATGTGGATTGTGTCTATCACTGTGTCCCAATTCAGCGGCCGCATCCTCCTGAGGATGCATTCGGAGACCNCCTCTTGACTAGTACTTATGTCTCTCGACTCTCTGCAAACCGTATTTAGTATTGTACATAGTTGTATTATTTGTGAAATTATGCAGATTAAGTAGTATGTCAAAGTAATTTCACACACATAACTTGAAACTTAGTTGTCTTTCAAGGGTAGTACGTGACCGAGAGACTCTCGGAAAGTCAAAACTACAAAGGTGGTTCGGAATCTCTAAGTCACTCCTCATAATTAGTCTCAAAATTTTATACTTTATAATGTTGTGGAGACGTGTTGACTGTCACTCGTCTCCTCACACACAAACAAAGTTTCCTTTGTAGTGCACTGTACATACTTCCTAAATACATAGTAAATAAAGTCTAGACACATCTACAAAGACGACTACGAAGAGACAACGACAGCAAGACGTGGACAGGTGGTCCACAGGAGTAAAGTGTAGGACGTCACCTCTGTCACTAACTTGTGAAACAAATTATTATGGACAGAGATGACAGACTTTGAGA